ATTAGAGTATAAACATGAGAATTAACCCTAGGGAATGATATAGGTAATTTCAGTCAAGCCTCTAAACTACTAGTTCCTCATTAAGCCCGCTAAGCTCTAAACCCTCCCTTGCCCCACAGACAGCGGTGGTCCCAGATATGAAAGTGCTCCCCTAGTTCGCAAGGAGAAGATTCCACGCCCCGGTCTCAACGGTTCAGGGTTTAGGAGATCAGGGGTGCAGGGTTTGGGGGGTTAGGGCTCAGGACTCAGGGATTTAGGGTCTACGTCTTACATCAATTCAGATTCCTCTGTGGGTCTAGCTGTGAGTCTAACTTTCATTAGAAACCGCTAGGGTTTCGAATCAGGTTTGGGCTTAAGAGATGGTCTTTACGATAAGAGTGCATCTGCAAGTGGGGCCACAGATTGGACGGGTCATTCCGTTGCTCTCTTCGGTGAAAGAGCGTGAAGCGCACAATGTGTCCTTAACCTAGGGGCATAAGTAATTAGAATAGGATTTTGTGGCGACTTTATACTGTAGTTTCAACAAGGAGCCCCCCCAAATAGTATTGGTAATCATTTTTACCCCTACATATCAGAACCGAAAGCCCAAACAGTAGCTCATGCTTGCCCGCCTGGTTGGCAGAATGAAGACTTCGCACGGCAGGACCTGTCTGGGAAAAAACTGCGTGCATAGTCAGGAAATCTCCGGTCCTGCACAACTGCACAAAACCGCGGCGATGCCAGTGCGTACATCCATGCCATGCGCTGACTCCCGGAGGAGTGGAGAACCCAGACATGTCAACAGGAGGAGTGGAGCTTCCAGACATGTCAACAAGCGATTGCTGCCACCACCTGCCCTGTGTTCGTGGCTCCTTGTTCTTGTGGCCCGGGGGCCTGTGAACATCTACGACCAAGCATGCTCAAGCATGTGCTGCTGCCGCTGCATGCTCCTCAGAGGTTTGAGATGATTGCAAGCGGCACTTGACATGCAACGACCAACACACGGCTCGACGTCGCACATTACTCATGCCTCCGAAAAGCCCGCTCTGCCTGCCCTGTTGCCTGCCGCATCAAAAGACCACGACACGACGACAAAATGCAGGGCGGTTTCTCAAGCACAGCGATGAATTCCTGTTGCCATGCACAACGTCTGTGAAATCATGGGCACTGTAAGGAATGTCAATAGCCCGGCCATGCATCTGTGGTCTTCAGATCTCAACACACTCTCGCAAGTCGCAAAGCACGTGTGGCGCGCTTGGCAAGGGGTCTGAGGCCAGCGTAACAAGGATGGGGAGGCCAAGAGCTGTGAGTCATCATGTGACTCTCTTGACTGCTCGGTCATCCTCCCCCTTGTCAGAACCTTCATTGAAGGAACTTCACACACGCCGTGCGCCACTTGGCTTGAGCCGACATGTTTCGAGCCGGCGGAACACTCCCAAGCGACTGCTGAAACTGCACTGCTCCCTCTTCTGCCAACACTGCCATGCATGTCCTGCCGAAGTACTACAGTATGATGTGATGCATCGCTGAAGTGAGCAACAAACCTTACAATGCTAATGGGATGGGTTCATGCACTTTCAGATCACGAGGTAGGGCGAAGACTCTTCTTTCGCATCGGCCAGACCATCCAGACTTCAGGGCACCAAAACCTTGCATAGGCACAGCCTCGCAGCAGGCCTGATGATTCATTTCCGACTCCCGGAGGAGCTGAGTCGATTGCAATTGCTTTATGTTTGCAAAACCACTGTCGGGCCTGGCCACAGTGGTTTCAAAAAACGGTGTTGACTACGCTGCACTGTTAAGAAGGCACGCAGCAGGCAACACAAATACATCCAAACATGGGCCTGCCTTTAGCAGGTGGCAATCTCGTATGCACTAGCAACTGTATACCGTAACTTGAACCACTTGTCGACCGGAGTCGATGGCTAAAACGGGCTAGAACCTCCAGGCCAATCTAACACTACCCGAATGCTTTTGTGGTTGCAGGGAACGCACTGCAACCTCCTGCCCTTCTTCCATGTTCCGCTTCGGGGGATCCCAAGGACTCAGCATGCCTAACATAGATACTCATAAAGTAACTTGTGGCTACACATCCCCACCGGTGGGGCCCAAGTCCATGCATCCCCCGAAATCCCCCATCACAGGCCAGACCGGAGCTGGGTTCTGTGGGCGGCTAAAGATGTACTGAACTTGTTCTGCGGAAGTTCCGCATCTTCTTGATGGCTCGTTGTGCTTGTGGCCCGGAGGCCCCTGGATGTCCACGACCAAGCATGCTCCAGCATCCGCTTCTGCTTCCACATAGACCTCGGAAGACCATCACGGCAACAAAACGGCAGCTGTCGCGCCAACACCAACCCCGTAGTGCGATGTCTCGCATACGCTGCATGCCTGCTGAACCCTAGCACTTCAATGCTGCATCCGCATCGCAATGGCAGTGCTTGGCTGCGTGCCAAGCCCAATGGAGATTCACCACCCCTGCACAGCATCGTCACAAGTCTTTCAGATCCATCGAGCAAACTGCATCCTAAACTCGACCAGCCTACCTACTGCGGAGTGCCCACCGAAGGCAAGTCAAGGCACGCATGCCAGTGCAAGTTACAGGTTTGTGGGTGCACTGCAACATGCCAAACGTGCTGCCTAGGCACTGCGCATTGTCTGACAGCTCCCACGCCGGCCTTCCAAAACCACACGGGAATGCAGAACAGCCTCAAAACCCTCTCCCAAGCAAGCGCTCTTCTTTTGGATGTGTCAAGATGTTCATAAAACAGAATTAAAGCATCCCTGGCTATACATGCCGTAAATTTCGGGGCCAACCCCGAGCCACGCGAAGCTCTGGAAAAGTAACAAAGTTTCAGAAGGCCGAGAACCCCGATGGCCAACATAGGGAGCCTTTCATAATTCGAATCGGGCTTCTGGGCTCATGAGGATATAAACACGATAAGGAACCCTAAGCCACAATATGATGAAAAGATATGTCCCTAATGTAGGGGCCTTGGAATCAGAGTACGGTTTTGGAGGATTTTGTAGTCTACAAAGTCAATGAGGAATCAGGAGTCCACCCATATAGTATTGGTAATCATGTTTACCCCTACATATGAGAACCGAAAGCCCAAACAGTAGCTCATGCTTGCCCGCCTGGTTGGCAGAGTAAAGACTTCGCCCGGCAGGACCTGTCTGGGAAAAAACTGCGTGCATAGTCAGGAAACCTCCGGCCCTGCACAACTGCCGAAAACCGTGCCGATGCCAGTATGCACATCAATGCCATGTGCTGACTACCGGAGGAGTGGAGAATCCAGACATGTCAACAGGAGGAGTGGAGCTTCCAGACATGTCAACAAGCGCTTGCTGCCACCACCTGCCCTGTGTTCGTGGCTCCTTGTTCTTGTGGCCCAGGGGCCTGTGAACATCTACGACCAAGCATGCTCTAGCATGTGCTGCTGCCGCTGTGTGGTCCTCAGAGGTTTGAGATGGTTGCAAGCAGCACTTGACATGCAACGACCAACACACGGCTCGACGTCGCACATTTCTCATGCCTCCCAAAAGCCCCCTCTGCCTGCCCTGTTGCCTGCCGAATCCAAAAGACCACGACACGACGACAAAATGCAGGGCGGTTTCTCTTGCACAGCGATGAATTCCTGTTGCCATGCACAACGTCTGTGAAATCATGGACACTGTAAGGAATGTCAATAGCGCGGCCATGCACCTGTGGTCTTCAGATGTCAACACACTCTCGCAAGTCACAAAGCACGCGTGGCGCACTTGGCAAGGGGTCTGAGGCCAGCGTAACAAGGATGGGGAGGCCAAGAGCTGTGAGTCATCATGTGACATTCTCGAGTGCTCGTTCATCCTCCCCCTTGTCAGAACCTTCATTGAAGGAACTTCACACACGCCGTGCGCCACTTGGCTTGAGCCAACATGTTTCGAGCCGGCAGAACGCTCCCGACTGCTCAAACTGCAACGTTCCCTCTCCTACCAGCATTGCCATTCATGTCCTGTCGAAGTACTACAGTACGATGCATTGCTGAGGTAAGCAACGAACTGCACAATGGATTTCTCTTTCGCTTTTGTCAGGCCGTTCAGACTTCCGGGCACCAAAACCTTGCATAGGCACAGCCTCGCAGCAGGCCCGATGATTCATTTCCGACTCCCGGAGGAGCTGAGTTGATTGCAATTGCTTTATGTTTGCAAAACCACTGTCGGGCCTGGCCACAGTGGTTTCCAAAAACGGTGTTGACTTCGTTGCACTGTTAAGAAGGCACGCAGCATGTCCAATCATGGGCCTGCCTTTAGCAGGTGGCAATCTCACATGCACTAGCAACTGTATGCGGCAACTTGATCCAAGTGTCGACCGGAGTCGATGGCTAAAACGGGCTAGAACCTCCAGGCCAATCTAACACTACCCGAATGCTTTTGTGGTTGCAGGGAACCCCCTGCAACCTCTTGCCCTTCTTCCATGTTCCGCTTCGGGGGATCCCAAGGACTCAGCATGCCTAACATAGATACTCATAAAGTAACTTGTGGCTACACATCCCCACCGGTGGGGCCCAAGTCCACGCATCCCCCGAAATCCCCCATCACAGGCCAGACCGGAGCTGGGTTCTGTGGGCGGCTAAAGATGTACTGAACTTGCTCCGCGGAAGTTCCGCATTCCTCTCGATGGCGCGTTGTGCTTGTGGCCCGGAGGCCCCTGGATGTCCACGACCAAGCATGCTCCAGCATCCGCTTCTGCTTCCACATAGACCTCGGAAGACCATCACGGGAACAAAGGAAACGTGCCAACACCAACCCTGAAGTGCGATGCCTGGCACCTCAATGCTGAATCCGCATCGCAATAACACTGCTTGGCTGCGTGCCAAGCCCAATGGAGATTCACCACTCCTGCACAGCATTGTCACAAGTCTTTCAGATCCATCGAGCAAACTGCATCCTGAACTCGACAAGCCTACCTACTGTGGAGCGTGAGAAGTGCAGTGCAAGTTACAGGCTTGTGGGGTGCACTGCAACATGCCAAACGCGCTGTCCTGGCACTGTGAATTCTCCGATAGTTCCCACGCCGGCCTTCCAAATCCGCACAGGATTGCAGAATGGTTTCAAAACCCTCTCTCGAGCAAGCGCTCTTCTGTTGGATGTGTCAAGATGCTCATAAGGAGTCTCAGGGATTTGGGATGTTCTGGGTTTAGATAGAGCTGCCAAAGCATTCCTGGCCCTACCTGCCGCGTTCATTTCGGGGCCAACCCCGAGTCACGCGAAGATCTGGAAACGACTACAAAAGTTTCGGAAGGCCGAGAACCTCGATGGCCAACATAGGGGGCCTTTAATAATTCGAAACGGGCTTGACAGTTCAGTAGACTATGAACATGAGAAGGAACCCTAAGGAATGATATAGGTAATTTCATTCAAGCCTCTCAACCACTAGTTGCGAATTAAGCTCCCTCAGCCCTAAACCTTTCCTTTCCCCACAGAAAGCGGCGGTCCCAGATATGAAAGTGCTCCCAGAGTTCGCAAGGAGAAGATTCCACGCCCTGGTCTCAACGGTTCAGGGTTTAGGAGATCAGGGGTGCAGGATTTGGGGGTTAGGGCTCAGGGTTTAGGGATTTAGGGTCTGCGTCTTACAAGAATTCAGATTCCTCTGTGGGTCTAGCTGTGAGTCTAACTTTCATTAAAAACCGCTAAAGTTTCGAATCAGGTTTGGGCTTACGAGATGGTCTTTACGATAAGAGTGCATCTGCAAGTGGGGCCACAGATTGAACGGGTCATTCCGTTGCTCTCTTCGGTGAAAGAGCGTGAAGCGCACAATGTGTCCCTAACCTAGGGGCATGAGTAATTAGAATAGGATTTTGTGGAGATCTTATACTGTAGTTTCAATAAGGAGCCCACCCAAATAGTATTGGTAATCATGTTTACCCCTACATATCAGAACCGAAAGCCCAAACAGTAGCTCATGCTTGCCCGCCTGGTTGGCAGAATGAAGACTTCGCCCGGCAGGACCTGTCTGGGAAAAAAACTGCGTGCGTAGTCAGGAAATCTCCGGCCCCGCGCAACTTCCGAAAACTGTGCTGATGCCAGTGTGCACATCAATGCCATGCGCTGACTCCCGGAGGAGTGGAGAACCCAGACATGTCAACAGGAGGAGTGGAGCTTCCAGACATGTCAACAAGCGCTTGCTGCCACCACCTGCCCTGTGTTCGTGGCTCCTTGTTCTTGTGGCCCGGGGGCCTGTGAACATCTACGACCAAGCATGCTCTAGCATGTGCTGCTGCCGCTGTGTGGTCCTCAGAGGTTTGAGATGGTTGCAAGCGGCACTTGACATGCAACGACCAACACACGGCTCGACGTCGCACATTACTCATGCCTCCGAAAAGCCCGCTCTGCCTGCCCTGTTCCCTGCCGAATCCAAAAGACCACGACACGACGACAAAATGCAGGGCGGTTTCTCAAGCACAGCGATGAATTCCTGTTGCCATGCACAACGTCTGTGAAATCATGGACACTGTAAGGAATGTCAATAGCTCTGCCATGCACCTGTGGTCTTCAGATGTCCAGATGTCAACACACTCTCGCAAGTCACAAAGCACGCGTGGCGCGCTTGGCAACGGGTCTGAGGCCAGCGTAACAAGGATTGGGAGGCCAAGAGCTGTGAGTCATCATGTGACTTTCTCGAGTGCTCGTTCATCCTCCCCGTTGTTAGAACCTTCATTGAAGGAACTTCACACACGCCGTGCACCACTTGGCTTGAGCCAACATGTTTCGAGCCGGCAGAACACTCCCAAGCGACTGCTGAAACTGCTCCCTCTTCTACCAACACTGTAAAGCATGTCCTGTCGAAGAACTACAGTACGATGCATCGCTGAAGTGAGCAACAAACTTTACAATGCTGATGGGTTGGGTTCATGCACTTCCAGATCACGAGGTAGAGCAAAGACTCTTCTTTCGCATCGGCCAGACCATCCAGACTTCAGGGCACCAAACCTGCATAAGCACAGCCTCGCAGCAGGCCTGATGATTCATTTCCGACTCCCGGAGGAGCTGAGTTGATTGCAATTGCTTTATTTTTGCAAAACCACTGTCGGGCCTGGCCGCAGTGGTTTCTAAACGGTGTTGACTACGTACTACGTTCCACTGTTAAGAAGGCGCGCAGCAGGCAACACAAATACATCCAAACATGGGCCTGCCGCTAGCAGCTGGCAACCTCACATGCACTAGCAACTGCTTGGGGCAACTTGAACCAATTTTCACCGGCAATTGTCGACCGGAGTCGATGGCTAAAACGGGCGAAAACCTCCACGCCAATCTAATACTACCCCAATGCTTTTGTGGTTGCAGGGAACCCCCTGCAACCTCTTGCCCTTCTTCCATGTTCCGCTTCGGGGGATCCAAAGGACTCAGCATGCTTAACATAGATACTCATAAGTAACTTGTGGCTACACATCCCCACCGGTGGGGCCCAAGTCCATGCATCCCCCGAAATCCCCCATCACAGGCCAGACCGGAGCTGGGTTCTGTGGGCGGCTAAAGATGTACTGAACTTGCTCCGCGGAAGTTCCGCATTCCGCTTGATGGCTCGTTGTGCCTGTGGCCCGGAGGCCCTGGATGTCCACGACCAAGCATGCTCCAGCATCCGCTTCTGCTTCCACACATGTCACACTCTCTGATGCCTGATAAGCCAAGTCGCTTCAATGCCGAATCTGCAAGAACACTAGCAAGTCGCCAGACTGCTTGCCAAGCCCATCGGCCAGTTGCGACTGCCATGCACAGAGTCTACTGCACAAGATCTGTCGCGAACAAGGAACGCCTAGCTGCGCTTGCCCATGGATTCTAGGCGATTGCTGGGCCAATCGCGTGAGTGTTCAGGAGTTAATGGGCTTAATCTCCCTGGCTGCACTCACAAGCCACCCACGGCACGTAGCGTGCAAGGGGTGGCCAGCGCAACAAGGATGGGGATGCCAAGAGCTGTGAGTCATCATGCGACTCTTTTGAAAACTCATTCATCCTCCCCCTTGTCCGAAGCTTCAAGGAAGGAACTTCGCACACGCCGTGTGACGCTCTGGGATTCAAGCTTTCGATCTACTCTCGCCACAGGCATGAACTGCTGAACTCTTTGCTGCAATGCCCTGCCCTGGAACTCGACTTGCAAACTTCAGCTTGCCAGAATTGGCCATGTCTCGCGCCGGCAGCTCAGGCTTAGAATGCCATCACTCTGAACCTGTCATCGGTGGGGGGGGAGCTCTACGGAGAAGAATGCAGAGCTTGTGTGGCTAGGTGTTGGAAAACATGCTGCATTCAGCAGGATGATTCGTGTTTTCGGGGCACAGCTGGGAAGGCATGTGTGAGATGTCCAGCAACGCAGCGAAATCTGTGTGCCCAATGTCGCTCAAACGACTTTTGTGGAACATCGCAGGAAGCCACGCAAACTCCAGCGCAGCTGCCGGCTGCTGGCTGCCGAAAAGACCGCAGCAACCTACTCCTGCGAAATTTGGCAAGCCACTGCAGATGTCTGGAGTCGTCAAAGCACATGCTGTCATCTTATGTAAGGGCCTAAGCAATTACCACTACTAGGCCACAGGGTTCCCTTTAATCCGGTTCCAATTAGTGAAGCGCCTGCAGTTTGGGGTTGGGCGGCCCTATTTGTCTGCAAAGCTGGGTTTTGAAAAGGGTAAGAGAGGGTTTTGATTTATAGGAGCGAGAAGGACATACTCTTGGGTCAATGTCTTGTTGGTGTCAGCTGTCAGCGGTCGGCTGTTCCAAAAAACACACGCAAAGGCCGCTCTGAACATACTCGAATGTCCGGAACTAGACCCTAACTCTTGCACCCAAATCAAATCCCCGTGAGTCGTCCTTCGTCAAACGCTGTCTGCTTCCACTGGAAGTCGGACAGCGGCGCCTAGCCTCTGACTGAATTAATGGGGTTTCGGGTTGAGCGTTGGGATACGTATGCGAAGCAAGTACCCATGTCTCGGAACATCTATGTTGCATGAACGGACGTGCCGACCGCGCAGGTCTCTACCCAGAGACTCCAATATCCCTTAATTAAGGAATATACCTTAAATCATATTACGGACCCTACTATAATTTAAGGTATATTAGGGAATATTGGAGTCCGTGAGTACTGATCACAATGTCTGATTTGGGGCTTTGGACCCTGGAGGGCTTTGAGGCGATATGGGTAGTTGTCAAAATTGGGGTCCCTTTGTGGGTCCTTACTTTCATACGGCACCTAATATTTGGGGTACCCAAGAAGGGACCATAATTTCGACAACCACCCATATGATGGTACAGTGACAAACGGATAACAAGGGAATTCGGAATGCTGTTTCTCTTTAAGGTTCAGGGTTCAGGGCTTGATAACAGGGGAATTCGGAGTACGCGCTCCACCAAATAGCCCAACAACACCAAGCCCTAAGCGCTAAACCCCAGAGCTGAAAATGCAAACACCTCCAATTTTGAACCCCAAACCCCCGAAACCCAACTCTTAACTCTAAACCTCCGACGCAGCTAAACTCCACTCCAAAAACCTAGCTTCCAGCTTATAGACGGTCTTCACCTAAAAGACTGTACAGAATCCTCATAAGAATCCTGCAACATGCTGCTAGAACCTTTGACCCTGAAACCCTGAACCGCAAAACTTAGACCGCTAAACCCTATAGTACCCTTATTGTATCCCTTGAATGAGCCCTTTTGATGGAACCAAGGAATCCTTGAAGCCTTTCTTTGCCCTAAGCCGCTAAACCCCCATACCAAGCCCTAAATCCCGTTTGCACCCGCGTAGCCCATAAAGGAACCCTTTTACAGTAAGCCTGAAAGGAACCCTTTTAACATTACCTGGACCCTAAAGAACCTACCTTTTTAGGGACTTGTGTGAAGAAATCATATTAGAGGGCCCTGAAAAGGTAGGTGAGTTAGTGTCCAGGTAATCAGGCTTTCTTGCCTTCAAAACCCAAAAGGCCCCACGGCTTCTCGACTCTCCGAAACCCTAAGCCCCTAAACCTCTGAACCCAAAACCCCATAATATAGGGGCCTTATAATTACCTATACTATTTTGGGGGTTCCTTAAAATAATTAATAGTATAATGGGCCCCAACGCCCTGTTCCAATTTTTAAGGCCCCTGTATGAGACTCAACACCCTGAACCCTATACACCCTATAGACCCCTTAAAGGAACCCTAAACCCCAAAACCTCTCAAGACCCTTAAACCCTAGGTTCCTTTTAACCAACCCCAATAGACCCTATAGATCCCGTAAAGGAACCCTAAACCCCAAAACCCCCAAACGGACCCTGAACCTCTAACCCTAAACCCTAAATCCTAAAATTATTAAGGGCGGAGAAATAGACCCTAAACCTTCAACCCTATACACCCTAAAGATCCCATTATCAAAGTTATCAAAGGAACTCTTAAAGGAACCCCCTAAACCCTAAACCCTAAACCCTAAACCCTAAACCCTAAACCCTAAACCCTAAACCCCAAGCCCCAAAACCTCTAAAGACCCGAATCCTCTGAGCTCTGCGCTCATCGGATCTCCGCGCCGAGGATGGCAGTGGGTGGCCTTCTCGGCTTGTTTTAGGGGTTTAGGGGGTTCCTTTAAGGGTTCCTTTAAGGGATCTATAGGGCTTATAGGGTTTAGGGGTTCAGGGTTTCAGGGGTTTGGGGGTTTAGGGTTTAGTGCTTAGGTTTGAGGGCTCCTTTCAGTGAATTCTATACGGCCTCTTTAGGGATTCCTTTAAAAGTCACCTAGGGGTTTAGGGTTTAGGGATGTGGGGTTTAAGGTCTTAGGGATACAAGGCCGTAAATGATTAGAACACCGTTCTTCTTCAGTTGCTTTTTAACCGCGTTGTCACTATAAGCGGTATTATGGGTTGTTGAGTCACCCAGAGAGAGAGAGAGAGAGAGAGAGAGAGAGAGAGAGAGAGAGAGAGAGAGAGAGAGAGAGAGAGAGAGAGAGAGAGAGAGAGAGAGAGAGAGAGAGAGAGAGAAAAGAGAGAGAGAGAGAGAGAGAGAGAGAGAGAGAGAGAGAGAGAGAGAGAGAAAGAGAGACAGAGAGACAGAGCAGAGTTTTCGAGGCATTCTTATCTTTTTTATGTGGTACTTGAGAGCTTTTTTCAGGTTGTCAAGGGGTTTTCTGCTAGGTTCCCCAGTAGCCCCTTGAGGCCAAGGGTACCCAACTTTTCCTACACGAAAAGGAAGACAGGCACACCAATAGTGAGAAACTTTATAACGTAGGGTTGTGCGGCCCTCTTGTTGTTGATGGGAGGCCAAATGGGGGGTTTAAGATTCTTGGGGTAGGGATTCCTGAATATGAACCCTATTATGGGAACCCTAATCCCTACTAAACCCCCATAGGCTAAAACCCCTTTTGGCCTCCTGTGAATTGTGCAATCTCTTCCATCTCGGAGCGCTGCTGGGCTTCGAAGGCACTGATAAGGCCAAGTCGCTAAGCGCCTTTGCCCGCGAAGCAACCACATCATTAAATGGCTGGATAGTCTTGGCGCGGAGCTTGGAGGCACAGGTTGTTCCCGAAAGTTTGGCCATATTGACCGGAATGTCGTCTGCTGCGCTGGTGGTTGTTCCTTCGTTTACCGCGGTCCTTCTCTTTCTGTTGCCAGCCTCCCTTTTGCAACGGGCTTGCTTGTCTCTCGAAGAAGCCGAAGTTGCTGCACTTGGTAGTACTATTTCTTAGGGGTCCTTCACAGAATTCTGGTAT